AAAAAAAAAAAAAAAAACAAGGAACAGAAGTTACCGCCGAAAGTAACAGGTATCAAGCAACCAAAAGCAAAAAAAAGCTCCATATCGTTCGCAATCCCTAATCTATCATTCAGACTTTTTCCCTATGGCGAACTGATCTCTTAACAGTGAAGCAGTCACTAGTAAAACCACAAGAAAAGGGGAAAAGGAAGAAAAAAGATCGGTTTTTTGACGTTAAATTGGAATTGGAATGTTGTTAAAAAGTCAAACTCGCTATTAGCTCCCTTATAAACAATCTTTGAAAGAAAGAGACTACGACAATTTTGCCAGCGAAGCGATGTGCTACCACTTGAGTTACTTCTTGAGTGTCTACGTTCCAACGGAAGGGTTTCCGCTTTCAGCTGTCTGCTTAGTCGTACCATTAAAAACATTAAGCAAACGCAAGCAAATGCATAGATGATACTCAAAATTTTATACCTCTCAGTTCAAATTATTCTTGGACCCCAATTTAAAAGTACTCTGTAGCCTCAAAATCAAAAAACTGCTGTCCCGAAATTATGAAAGCAAAATCTCTTGCTGCTCATGAATTCAGAGGCCTGACCGTTCTGAGTCCCAATCGCTGAAATTAGTCGAATTTTAGCAAATTTTGCAATTTGAAAATTAGAAAAAACAAAAATTTGAATTTTAGAAGCGAAGTTCCTGTCCAAGTGCGGGGTAGCAAACTTGAAAAAAATCACATCTCTTCCTTTATTCTGGTCACAAATATAAACTCGTTCTAATTATCGTGGAAGTCCCGTGAAAAGTCGGCAACTGTTGAAAGCGTGTATTACACGGACCGCAACAGCCAGATGATACAACAGCTACTAAAACACGGCACGGCTCGTCTCGTACACGATCTGCGGAAAATTTTTTTTCCGGAAGGCAGGTAGGGTTGCCCTACGGCGGATGGCGATAGTTTGAATGTGGTGCCAGCGTAAGTTAAAAGAATTAGGAGGGGAGGGTTTTTATAGCTTTTCAGGCCACGCATATGTGATGTGTGACGTATTAGGATAGGCGCATTTTACAACTCCTTGAGGTCATCTATACACCCCCTACCTTGGCTACGCCCACATTCCTCCCGTATATAAGCCCAGTCTTTGGACACAAAACTCAGTTTCTCCGGTCCACTCCGACTGAGTGGCGGAGGCGGGTTTGGTCGCCCACTGCCCTCAATCTTTACTACCAGGGTGGAGGAAGAATGGGAAAATTTGATGCTTAGGAAGAAAGAGAGGGGAGGAGAAGACATTTGTACATCCACTTACCGCTGCTCACCCTTCCACGCACCCCGCACAACCATGGCTGCCCCCCTACCACCTCGCCTTCCCACCAGTCAGGCCATACAGCCGCTGCGCCCTGGGTAACGTTGCCCTGTCTCTCTGGCAGGCTGCCAAACGGTCCCCGTGAGCGACGCCACGGAACATTGTTGCCAGAGATGACAGAGGGCTTCCCAAGGACCAACGACCACCAGCCGAGCCGAGCCGAGTTGTAGTAGTTGCCGATGACACAAAACATTCGTGCGGAATGCCAAACAAACAGAACATAGGTGTTCCAGCTGGTTTGTGAGTTACAAGTGCACGCAGTGCAGTGGTCTGGCTCATCGTATATAGATTTGAAGATGAGTGATTTGATTCCCCTTCAGGTTCACAGTAATTTTCAAAAGGGGCTCTGTTCACGAGACTAAATTCTTAACTCGAGGACAAACAAATTTATCAGTTCCAAATTCTGAGTTCCATTCCCCATGTGCGTTTCATTAAGCCAAATTCCTATGCTTTCAATTGTGTGGTCGAAAGTGGCCGCAGTTACATTCGACGTTCAGTGAAAAGCAGTAATTTTCACACGCCATATTTTTTTTTTTTCTGATATGGGTTATGTTTTCACCAGGTCCTTATTGGCGATTAGGTTCTATATTACCCTCAGACAGATGGGTTAAAAACTTTTACAAGGCAGAGGAATTACTGTATCTTTCGCAGAATTCATCTTCTGTGAAATCGTTGCAGGTTTCCGTTGTATTCACAGAAATTCATTCCAGGTGGAAGCTCAATCTTCGATTATAGCGCCAAGTTTGGATTACACTGTGAATGGAAATAATCTAGAATACATGATAAGCAGCTATTCCAGCACGATCTCTTCCAGTCCTACGATTACATCCACTGGAAGTGAGCTGCGACCAAGCACCGAGCAGCTACAGCAGCAACAACAATATACACGGCAAAATGTTGGTGCTAACAGCGGCCTAGGCACGGATCGAGCAGTTGTTGCCGCTGGCAAAGAGGTACCGCAGATGTCCTGGTGACTTCGATCAGTCACAGGCTAGGTCTACGTTTTGGTGTGGCACCCCTTTTTCTTGATTTGTTACCGAAGATTTTTTTTTTTTGAATTTTAGTTTGAAATTATGCACTGCTTTATCAATTCAAGTTTTTCTTACTAGCTACAAATAAAGAATTGTCTCGCGCATCCAAACTGCTCGCATGGATGCAATTTTTTTTAATAATTGGATTAAAATTCATTTGAAGATCATGCGTTGCAATTCCAAAATTGGCTTCTTCAATTTTTTTGGCACTGAATGGAAGACAAACGCCTGTCTTTTTGTGCATGTCAGTACCAAAAAATTTGATCAGGCGAGCATCTGAAATTTCAAGAGCGTTGATTTTTGACATAATGGTTCTTGTAATGATACTCATTTATTAGTCATTCGCATTTAGACTCTGTTTGTAGCATCGGTCTTTAGCATCACAAGCTCAAGACGAGATATCTTAAGGTTTTTTTGCCGTTGAGCCTTATCGATCCGCAAAGACACTGAGAAGCGTGTTCTACGAACTTTGACCTAAAACCAGCTTTTTTAAAGTAATCATTCTTAGTTATTTTGAAGAAAAATGAAGATAAAATTCCGATTCTTTGCCGGGATATTTTACCTGCACTTTCCACAAAATTATAAACAAAACAAAAATCTCGTTATGAGTGAAGAGTATAGGAACTTTCCTAAGTATTCTGGGAAACAAAAAAAAAAAAAAATAAGTACAAAAACCATTTCATAAAGATGGCTTTACTCAGTTCTGAAGCCTTGTATATCTAGGTCAGAAATTTCCCCTTACTGCACCTCATTAAATGGCGGAAAAGTCAAAAATTTCCCCCTATTGCACCTCATTAAATGGCGGAGTCTTTCGGAAGTAACCCAACTAGCATCAAACGCAGAGAGTAACCACTCAGTGGTAAAGCCGCGGGTGGGTTACTCGTTTGAAGGTTGCTTATAAACAAGCTTATAGGGGATATGGCTCCCTGGCATACTTCAATGTTAATTTATCTTCGAAATGAACGAGCGAAATTTAGGGGAATTAACTGTC